TTAGATTGGTATGAAACCTCTTGAGAATAAGATAATAGTATTATTGTTAGAGATATTATACAGCAGCACGTCTTCTGGAGCATCTTTTTATCAACACTGGAACCCTGTAATATCAGTCATTTATTGACATAATGCTTACACAGCTACATTTTCATCACTCTTACAAACAATACATCATCATTCATATCACTTGACACAGACGGATATAGAATTAATAGAAAAAGAAAAAAAAACTGCAACAATAAAAATGTATTCCTTCATTGGTGAAAACTTGTGCCATTGCATATTTTGGTATAATCCATTCTATTTAAGATAGCTTTTTCACAATGCTTCCTCTTGCTAATGACACTGATTGTAACATCACAAACTGTGACCATTTCTTCTGTTGCTATTATACAGGTTGATGCTATGCTCTCTTTTTTGTTTCAAAACAATTCGATATATTGTCTAAGGAGTAACATTTACCTTGTCAATTGCATTGAAATGTCAGTTTTGATCTCAAAATATATAATGATTAGCCTACTACTATCTTTGGTGTTCCATTGCATTATATCAATATGCACAGACTCTATTGCTGTAAAATTGTAATTAAAAGGCAAATATTTGACTGAAATTTGAGAAAGAAGACAAAAGAGTGAAAATACCAAAGCCATTAAATGTTGTTTAACAAGATATTGATGTAAATGTTCAGAGTGATTTGAATGATGGTGGTTGAAGATTAATGTTTTGCTCAACAAATTATTAAATATTTCATAGCAACAAATCAATAATTCAGACATATCTCACTGTGGCTTTTATATTTTACTATTTGAGATATCATTGTGCTGTAACTGTTTTATTTGTACTGAAATAGATTTTCCTATTTTTAAAAAAGGAAAATACATCTATATTTTCAAATATTTATATAAAAGTTTGTAATAATATAGAGTATTATTCTACATGTTAAGCTTTTTAGTCTCAGTTTCAAAATATTGTTTATCAAATTGAAATGAAATGAATGGAGTTGTACGTTCTACATTTCTGCACCTAATTGGGCTTATGAAGACAGACAATGCAGAGCGCAATGAGGGAATTTTTTCGCCAGGGCAATTGTATTAGCCTTCTCTTTTTCGATTTCCAACTGTTGAGAGATCTTTAAAGTGCAAGGCCTCAGCTTATTGTCCTATCAGAAAATGTTCATCCATCAATCATGTAATGTTTGTTCTAGTAAACATAAAAAATTCAAACTAGCTTCCAATTTCAACCATTGCATCTCCAAATGGTTTTAGGTGATATTAGCTCATATTTTTCGTTTTGATTTTATCCTTTGATAATTTTCCCTCATTTACATGAAAGAATTGAAGGTAAAAGGAGTGGTTTAAAACCTCCTCACCTTTGGAGCTGTAAAAATACCAGATGTTTTAATCTAAAAATTCACAACATATAAATTCAAAGATATTGATCAAAGGTCTAGTAAGAGTCAGCTTTCTTTAACATTTCTCCATTTTCTTTAACTCTTATTTAAATCATTGACTAGATCAAGTATCAAGATTCATTCCTCTCAAATCATTCCCTGATACTCAGTACATGAAATTGAAGAATGTATAAAAGAGGAATTAAAACATAATGATGTATAGAATTGATCCTGCAGAAAATAGTAAAACTTTAATAGCTTTACAACAAATGTCAATTGCTCATTCTTCAATAGTTGTAATATAAAAACTATCTGCTTTCTGTCAATGTTTGATTTAAAAGTTGGCAGATAATGATACAGCTCTTCGATTCGTCACTTTTAATTATTCAACAAAAAGACAAAGCGATGTCAATTTACTTTCAGTTTGTCAATCAACCATTAAACTGGTTTCCATGTCAATTGAAATAGTAAAGATTTCGGACATTATTTAAAACAAATCAAATGAATTTTAACCAGGGAATCTTGTAAGAAAAATGACAATAAATCAAAGATTAAAGTTCAGGTTAATCAGAAATAGTATTGGTCTTAAACATGCTGAATATCTAGAAATAAAATATCTGGTGATTATTCTTTGAAGTGTACACCTAAAAAGTACTTCAAGCATGCTTATTGGTAGGAAATAAATATAATGCTTAAAGTAAAGAAAGTACATAAAATATAAGCATAGTCTGATGGAGATCTTGAAATTGATTAGAAGTAGAAGCTATTGAAAAATAAGAAGTATGGAGTACTGAATTCATTTCAATACAACATGAAAGGAAGGAAATGTCAGGCTAATAACAATTGTCAGATTGTCCTTAACCTAATGATAAGAATTATAAATACTTCAAAAAACATTATATCCATGTGAATAAATCAATTAGTAATCTATAGTTTTTTGCCTACTATAACAAAAAAATAGATGTGATTTAAGAGTTAATAGAATGTCAGAATGACCTTTAAACAACATCATGATATATACAGATTAATCTTTACTAACAATTTCTCATATATAACACAAAAACATTGCTTCCTGTTAAAATACTGTACAGATATTCTCAATATATTATCTTAAAAGTAAGAAAGTTGGTCGAAGCAAAAACTTAAATCATTCTTAGTGTTCGATGAACTAAGTAGACTCTATAGTGTTCACAAGAAATTTTGACACATTAGACAAAGACATTTCAACATACATGTGATCCATGTGTTAAATTCAAATGGAACAAACTTTTGATGACAATCCTTCTAATCTTCTGAATGACCCAAAAGTAGACTGTTTGAATGTTCACTGCTCATATAGCATTTTCTGAATGAAGGAAGACTTGTCTCCTCTCATCCTCCACCTTCAAAAGACCTCAGCAGGGAATAAGAAAATCTGTTGTAATAAGGACAATACTTAATTTTACAAAATACAAGTTACATTCTTGCCTTGTGAAACTCATAGTTTGATTAAATGTGCGTTTCATGAACCGCAAAAAACACAGAAAGTTTCTAATTTGATCAAATTAATTTAGATCTAGTAAGGGCAAATTGTATCAGATGATGTTGCCATTAAAAGTAATGATGATATAATACTCTCTATGTACACTAATTAATCAGTTTAATTAAAGCCACATCAATATGGCATAAATAATACATCTAACTACTATTCCAATACACACCCGTAAAAATCTATAGATTGATTTATTCTCTATCAATTATTCAATAAACTTAAACTTCACTGATTGCCAATTTCATTAATCAATAAATAGAAAACATCCCACAGTGAGTCATATACACTGTGTAAATATCAAACTATAAAAATAATGACAATCGTTCAAAACTATCACTTATTTGGTATTTTGGTTAATGGTAATGAATGAGCATCATTGATTGATGTCTTCGTTTCAAGAAAAAAAACAAACATGACATGGAATAACCATTCTTCTAGCTCTCCAAACTTATAGAAACTGTATGAATCAATTTCACTTTATTAAAGAATTGCATTCATATTTCTTATTTATATACCTGTTGTTCAACTAAAAAAATATTCTCAATATTTCAAATACTTCACTACATTTAAAGCAATAGTCTCCTTCACTTTTCATATTCGCTTTTCATCTATATTACTTTTCATTAATACATGAATAAATATTTCATGAGATCATTATATAAAATGCATATGTCATATGATTTTAAAATGTTTTCAATAAATAAATGTATAAGAAAAAAAAATTTTGGAGCTAAGACTAGGCGTTAAAAGAAAAAAAACGATGACACAATCCCTTTGGAGTACAGTTCATAAGGTATAATGATTTTATGAACTAACAAATAAAATAATTAACAACATCATCATCAATAGAAGGGATTTAACCAAGACAATGCCTCCTTTTCAAATCATCCAACGAAGAAAGTAGAAAAGAGTGAATAGACACATTAATTAATTATATTGATAAAAAAGTATTGTTTGTTATTACATGTAACTATAGCTAGAGGTTATAGAAATAAACTGATAATCATATATATAATAGTTATAAAGTAAACAACATTGTCAAACTATGGTAAAAACATTTGAATTAAAGATAGTGGACCACAGCCATATACGCCCACAACGGCATGTGGATGGTAAATATTCAAGATTTTGGGGCAATGGCAATAACTCTGCTTCTAACAGTCGAAAATAGCTCAAATTCAAACTTGATCTTCGTTTTATGTATACACATACCGAATTTCATTTGATTCCATCACAAAATCTAGTTTTTATAGCGTTTACAAGCAAATGTTGACGGACGGACAGACAGGGGTGCCGACAATATTCGTGGGCGCATAAAAAGTGAAAGGGGAGATTGATAGAGAATCCCACGCAGAGTAGATTCTTAGTCATAACTACCTTATCTTCAATACAACTTCTCGAAATGTCAACTGATCAGACAATGGCAACTGATTCACTCCAACAACAAATGTTGACTGATTCAACAATGTGCACAGATTCAAAACAACATGTTGAATGATTCAAACAACAACCATGTCAACTAACTCAACAACAACCGTGTCAATTAATTCAACAACCATGTCAACTAATTCAACAACAAACATGTCAACTAATTCAACAACAAACAGGTCAACTAATTCAACAACAACCATGTCAACTAATTCAACAACAACCATATCAACTAATTCAACAACAACAAACATGTCAACTAATTCAACAACAAACATGTCAACTAATTCAACAACCATGTCAACTAATTCAACAACCATGTCAAGTAATTCAACAACAATGTCAACTAATTCATTCAACAACAACCATATCAACTCATTCAACAACAACCATGTCAACTAATTCAACAACCATGTCAACTAATTCAACAACCATGTCAACTAATTCAACAACCATGTCAAGTAATTCAACAACAATGTCAACTAATTCATTCAACAACAACCATATCAACTCATTCAACAACAACCATGTCAACTAATTCAACAACCATGTCAACTAATTCAACAACCATGTCAACTTATTCATTCAACAACAACCATATCAACTCATTCAACGACAACCATGTTAAATAATTCAATAACAACAACCATGTCAACTAATTCAACAACAACCATGTCAACTAATTCAACAACAACAACCATATCAACTAATTCAACAACAACAATGTCAACTAATTCAACAACAACAACTATGTCAATTAATTCAACAACAAACATGTCAACTAATTCAACAACAACCAAATCAACTCATTCAACAAAGTTAAGAACAACCATAACAACTAATTCAACAACAACCATATCAGCTCATTCAACACAAACCATGTCAACTTATTCAACAACAACCATGTCAACTAATTCAACAACAACCAAATCAACTCATTCAAAACAAATCATATCAACTAAGTTAAGAACAACCATAACAACTAATTCAACAACAACCAAATCAACTCATTCAACACAAACCATGTCAAATAATTCAACAACAACCATGTCAACTAATTCAACAACAACAACCATGACAACTAATTCAACAACAACCATGTCAACTTATTCAACAACAACAACCATGTCAACTTATTCAACAACAACCATGTCATCTAATTTAACATCATTATATTAACTTATATTTTAAACAATGTTTACATGTTTTGAAAATTTGAATATGAAAGTTGAACATCTAGTCTCGGACACTCAGAAATCTTTCATTTCAGTTGGGCATAGAGGCAAATGTGGACTGGATGATTGAGTTGACAGTAAACACATGAAGTTGTTAACCGATCTTCAAAATGGAAAAATGACTTTGTCTTTTTAACTTTTTATTCAGATAATTATTGATAAACTTATCAAAAAAGGCTAAAACCGGTACCTAAGCTGAACAATTCCTGTACCAAGGTACCATTGAGGCCCAAAATCTGTCCCTTTAAGAATATGGTTAGTTTATTCCTGTTTTACTAAATGTCTGAATTTCTGTGCATTATGTTTGATAATGTCTTTTGCAACAATTTGATTATTAGTCAAACCACTAGAAAATCTACCAATAATGTATAAGATTATAATAAATATCAATGCATGTATACACAAAAATATGGAAAACAAGGAAGAAGCAATAAAAAGGAATTATTGATATTTTTTCAGCTGTTGTAATTAGATTTTCAAATGTCAACAATCTAACACAGACATATCAAGTGCTTAACGAACATCATTTTTCATAAGGAAAAAAAGCTGAAGTATTTGTATATTTTGATAGTGAAAATATAGTAAATAATAACAGGTTCAAATCTATAAATAGACATTATCAGGAATTCTTATTCCAGATTTCACTGAAGTGATAAGTGTAGATAACTTAAAAATGAAAGTTATATTGGAATAATTGTATGGTTTATTGGTTTAATATTATACAAGGTAATACTTACCTAGAGAAATAGCTGTAGTAAAAGATGGTTTGCTGTGTAAAGGCTGCCAACGTGGTTATTCGTCTATAATCAGACTGCAGTTATTTTATTGATTTCTGTCAACACATCTAGGGACCAGCTCAAAACACTCCATTCTGTGCCGTCTGAAGAATAAAGAAAATTGATGATAATATGATTTTTATTCCGCTAGACAAAAAACCGATTATATATGAAATGATAAGTTTGGTTTTAAATACCTATATTTATAAGATTAATGTTGAATATTTTCCCTCCAGACAACCTATATATTATTATTCAAAACAAGCTTGTTCATAAATATCATAATTCAAAATACTGTCCACATTTACCAAATTAAAATCAGTGCCATTAGAACCCTCTCTAATTAAGCTTGTCAACATTACCATCAACTTTATACAACTCCTACTTCACTTCTTTCAAGTAGTTTTTTCATTTCTGAAAAATCTCCCTTAGGTCAAAGAGAATACAGTCCATATTTTACAATGGTTTCAACTCACAAGATGGTACTTATCCAGCCAGCTCGTAGTTGATCAATAAAAATAAATCATAAATTATTCTTAAGTTTTAATTTTGAAAAATTGGATATAGAAACATGATGGAATAGCATATTTCAAAAACTGATAAAAATTGTTTTTCAGATTACTGCAAATTAAGTCAAATTTCATTTAACCAGAGAACTTGCATTTATAGGTCTTTGATTTAACTCTTGAAATTTTATTTTTGAGCCAAGTGTACATCAACTCACACAGTACCAAATTACAGACTGAACAGTTGCAATAGGTTTTGTCCAAGTGTGTCCATCTAAACTTCTGCAACCGAGAGTAACAAGTTGTCCGTCATTTAGTAACCGCACATACAAAGATTGCAGCTTCCTATGATTGTGTTGTCTGATGTAGATTGCAGAGAAGCATAAAGTATTGAAAAGGATGAGCATTTCCTGACTCATAATTATCTGAGATGAGCTCTTTAACCATTACCTGTATATATATATATCTTATGTATTCTTTGTAATGAAATAAGATCAACCTGAACCACAGACCAATTTTAAAATTCATTGCACCGATTGAGCCAAGGATCTAATTTAAGCCTGAAATGTACAGTTGCACCATGAATCATAGGGCCCATGGTCGCACAGATAAGCTTATATCTGATAATAATAGTTTTACAACACCAATGTTATGTCTGTTAAGAAGAAGTCCCTATGGTAAAATAAGTGATATTGTCTCAGGGAAGTTTATGTGGTATGAATAATTGTCTAAGACTACCTGACTGATTTAATGTCAGTAAGATATTAGTGACGTCAATGCTGTGACATATTGACTAGATTTAGACGTTAGTGCCATGTACCATATCTAATCTGACTAGACAATATTTTCATTTTCATTTAAAGATCTTTTGAACTTATTATCACAAATCATAATTTGATCAATTAATTTGACGTTTTATTTTTTTTATTTGTGGATCCTGAACCTTTTTATGTAATAACACAAAATTCAGAACTCTAATTGTTACTTCAATGCCTGAATGGCCAACATTTCCATGAATCTTGTGAATCAAAATATTCTTAGGTTTATAATAACATGATAAAATTAGAAAAACATGACATGAAACTGCAATTAATTGTTGTTATGTTAGCTTATACAAAGGCTAAACAAAAAATTTCATCTTTTAAACTGTGATGTAACTGTTCAACCACCATATTTTCAGCCAGAAAATTGCAAATTACATGCAGAATACAAAATGTTGCTCGAAGGAGAAATTGTGCAATATATAGCAATTCATTATCACACATTGAAAGTGACAACTACTTATTTTGAACTTTGACAAGAACTTGTGATGGGGTTATCTACTGGAAATGTGGAAATGGTGAATGTTGTTAATTAATCTAATGAGTTTCTACTAATTAAGCTTCATTTATTATTAACACATGCGACTTCAACTATAGGTAGGAAACTCAAGACAAGAGGTGACATTTTTCATTATGAATTAGATATTGAGCAGACTGAATAAAACCCACACAACAATTCAATTGGTAATTCTGTGGATAGAAAAAATTATCATCCATAACCTGCAAGAAACATAATTTCAATCAGTCAGCTTATCTTTCATTAATATCAATACAAAATAATATTATATAGGAAGAAAAGATAACTTGTTCGCTATAACCATTTTCCACATGTTACATACACAAAAGTCTTCAAGTACCATGGACTGATGGAAAATTGAGCAATCTTTTGCACTCACATATGCTGTACAGACTTTAAAATGGCAAGATTGTCTTGAATGACTTCAGGGTATTACCCAAAAGGTATAGTCATTGACTGGATTATGTCTTTACACATGATTAATATGTAGTTGGTATGAAGCGCACATGGAAGCGTTGACGCCTGCAGGTAAGGGACTACAGCAGTCTGAGCCTAATACTAACATGTTACTAGTTGCCAATGCGCAGAAATTCAATGCAAAAATTTTCTTTTTTCATAGTTTGTGCATTCTGCTGTTATTAGAATTATTAGCTTTAAGCATCATATTTGATTGAATATAATTATTATAGACAACAGGTTAAACACTTTTCTCAGATATTCTATTAGCAATGAAATCATTTCAGACATCATGAAGAAAATGCTATTATATTTATTAGTCTTATAGGTCATCAATAAAATTGACAAGGCTCAACCCTATTTCAAAACAAGAAATGAAATGTTTTATATCCAAATTTTGTGCACCTGATAATGCAGATTGAGATCAAATGAAATTTTAAAAGAAATTTGATTTCTAACTGGCCAGGGATCTTTAACGTACACAGTCTGCTGCACAGAGGGTCCAATCTGAACATTCAAAAGCTTTTTCCATGCCAGTCGACCTACATCACTAAATTCTAGCAGAAGCCAGGTTGAAAAATCAAACATAGGCTTGCAGCAAGTCTCGCAAGCAAAAACGCCCACCACCAGCTTGATACATAGCTAAATGTGAACTGTAAAACAAACTCTCTATCGTAGCCTGTAGGGTCAGCACAAGCCAAAAAAGTTAAAAAACACGATATCAGAGTTTTATGCGATATCTCTAAAGAAAATCATCGGATCCTCACCAAATTCAATAATTCACAACTTCATAATGATATTGACACACATACAAAAGATCAAAAGCATCAATAGAGAATTGTAGTCTGTAGAGTGAGCACGAGCCAAAAAAGTGAAGAAAAAAAAACAAACGCGATATCAGAGTTTTATGCGATATCCCTAAAGAAAATCATTGGATCATCACCAAATTCAATAGTGCACAACTTCATAATGATTTTAACACACATACAAAAGATCAAAAGAATCTATAGAGAATTCTAGCCTGTAGAGTGAGCACGAGGTAAATGTGAACGGACGGACCGACAGGGGCAACCACAATATATGCCCATACTTACGTGTGGGCGTATAAAAAGTATTGACCTATGCCTAGATTGAATTCTGGACTTTCAGATTAGTAAGTATGCATAACTCACTGAGTTAAACTGGTCTCCAATTTAAAGGCATTACCAGATAGCCAATTACAAACACAAAACAAATTGTAAGTAGAAGGAAATAATTGCCTGAGAACTTCTAATAAATACTACAGAAAACTTGGTTAGAAATGGATAAAAAAATGGCTAATAAAGGTTTCAAATGTAGTCGAACTGTTGTAAAACATGGTATATATCCATGTCACTCTATACACGTTTACATTTTATCTTAATAATTGTCACTACTAGATAAAATAATTTGCAGTTTATTTGGTAGCAAAAAAGGGTGATTTATCTTGTATTAGAGTTTTAATAGACCACAAGTGTTTCCACAGTTTATGACTTTTGATGAAACCTGAATAAGCTAGGATTCTTTTGCCATCAAGTTTTCTTTGTTGCTGAGTTTAACTGAAAGCAAAGAACCGTAATAGAAAATTCAAATTAGGGTATAAACTTAGACGTTAATTCTCTATAAATAAGTCTTATATCATTCTGTTGGTTCACCGATACGTGATTTAACCTCTTTCAGCTTGGCACCCTTCAATATAAACACAAGAAAAACACTAGAGAATTATGGCCTTTCACCATTTTCTAGTTTGATCGGTCAGTTACCATTTATTTACACAGAATTGCCAAAACCCAATAATCAATAAGAATGTTTTGTCTGGTTTGTAATGTTTGGATCCCTAAAAACTATCATTACATCACTTCCATTAAATCTTGATAAAACTGAAAGCTTGAACATCTAAAAAACATAGAATAACCATTTATTTTCTTAATAAAATCAATAAAAATCTGATTGTCAAATCATTAATGATAGACCAAATGTTTCAACAAAATTGATAGAAAACTGGGAAAATCACAAAAAATGTAATTGGTCTATACAATAACGATTTGTAAATGGTCAATATTCTAGATCACCAAGTGTTAAAGTGGAAATATCTGAATTATTCCAGTGATTTCTGTGACCTCATCAAATATCATCCAATCATTTACTAGTAGTTTGTTCCAGATATAATACAAACTTTATAATAGTTGTATTGTTCATTATCTGGAGGAACATTATTTGGTACAATGATTTTCTATCTGAAGAAAATATGCAATTGAAAACATCAAAGTAAGACAGCTGGCCAGGCAAGGTAACATACGCCCACTGGCACCTAAAATGATAATCGAGTCTTTAGTGACTAAAATTAATTTTCTCAAATTAATGATCTTCATAATGCATTTGAAGTTTGAATTTAGTCATATATATATATATATATATACATTTACTGTCAATTATTAATGCTGAGTATTTCACAACATATAACTGGGCGTATATAAAAACCATAATCAAATAAACATGTTTACACTTATAAAAAATCTGAGGCCATGCAATCGCAAAAATTATATTACAATTTTGTATCATTATCGTTTTCTGATATTTTTAGTCCCAATGGTAAAAAACAAGTTTTCTCCCAAAGGTCTGTCCCGAAATTAATATTTATAACCAATCACAGCGTGTCATGCAGAACCCTGTTTCACGAATAAAGTATGGAATTGTAGGATAACGTAACCTAAAGTAAAGCAATACAAAAATCCTTATTTCACCATGCAACCGTTTTTACATGAAACACTTTGGTTAAAAAATAACATCATTGAGATGGGGCTTTGACAGAAAACATGTCCATATTTCCTCATTTTACCACATGATGACAATCTGAATTGTTGAAATGTTGTGTACAATGAAACACAGGAGTAGTATACCACAAAATTGTGAGCTGTTTGTTTTGTATATGGTGATTGTGGATGAGCTTAGTACAGGTTTGTTGTCAAAGTATAGAAGAAATAATTAATGACTTTACATAATTCTATCAAGTTTTACCATGAGCATGACTTTCTTCAATAGAAAATAAGTAAGGAATATAAATAGTCGAGTGGTAAACAAGGTTCAGTCATAAATCTGTAGAGAGTCAAGATCTCCACTGGCCAATCAACCAAGCTAAATAAAAGAAGATTACATTTCTTACTGATGAAGAATCATTGAAACCTAACAAGACATATTAGTGGAAGCTCAAGACTGATTTAAGCTGACTAGATATGACCATCTTAGCTAAATTAAACTCGTCTCATTTGATTCGCTGGTAGAGTAAAAAAATAAGCTGTTTATCATCTGCCGATCATGCTTAGTTTCTATATTAGAATGATCCCCTTCTGGCTGATGAGTTTGTCCATCCTCCCGAAAGATCCTACAGGTATATTAATTGTACATTGTTTCCTGAAGGCAGGAAGTTAGAAAATAACATCAACAAGAGAAGGTCAGTGATAGAGGTCGTTTAGCGAATAGCAGAATCCCTAGAGTAATATTTCTGAGACAATCAAAGTGAGATGAATATATAATGGTGAATCTGAAATGGTCGTTAAAAGCAGTCAGTGTGTGATATATATCTTGGCTATCCACAATGACCTTGGTTAAGAATGATATTGAGAAGAAGTGGCTGCTTGAAAAAAATCAATAGAAAGAAATTAATCATATTTTCTGCCAGTGTCAGATATTTACTGATGAATATTGGTGATTTCCTGCAAATCAAATCAGTTTAATATTTTACCACTGGCCTAGTTTATAGACAACTTTCTCTTCATAAATATCTTCAATATTATCTAACAATGTAACTTAACAGAAATGGCAAACATCACAAAGAGGTACTAAAATTTCAGAACATACTAGTACATGTACAGCATTTGAAACTCAAAGCTGATCCACTATAAATGCATCAATATCAGAAAATAGCAATAAAAAGGATTTAGGAATTTAAAAAGTGTTCACATAAGCAAAAAATGTTTCTTAGAATTCTCAAAATCAATTCCAAATCAAAACTCTGGACTTTTTCTTTGGTTGAATTTCTAGGAGAGAAAGTACTTACAATTATATTTTTATGAATGCAAAGACATTCTAAAACTAAAAATACTATTTTGAGGCAGCCATTCCAATTCTCTTAAAATAAATAAACAAAACTTTGCTTTGTTCAGACAATAGGTCACAATCTGCTACATATCTAGTCAAACAATGTACTTTATTTCAGGGCTATTATGCACCCCATTTCAACTTTATGTGTGTTTAATGTTAGAAGTCAAAAGCAGGAATTTGGGGTTTAATCATATTAATGATGTGTCATTATGAAGTGATAGTACTTGAGGGTGATATCTTTAATGATTAGTTGTCTGCATTTCAGCCTATGGCTTAATCAAATCAGAGTTATGTCCCATATGTCTCAAGTAAAATTCCTGGTATGCATTTTACATGGTATGTATTTTATAATAAAATGAAAACTAATATTGTGTTTTGTGTCCTAATCTTTGGATCCTGATAAAGACAAAGCAGAGCCAGTCAGTAAGGGACACTTTGCCAGAACAGCAACATTAGCCTACTCTTTTTTAGATTTCTAACTTTTGAGGGAGTTTAACATGCATAATGCATAAATTGTAGTATACAAAGACTTACAAATTTCATGTTCAGTTCAAAGATTCATACAGAAAAGAGAAACCAAACCACAACAGCACTTTCTAAAATTGTTTCCTTCTACAATTTTCCTCTCTCCGATTTATTCCAAAGAGGTTCTCTCCAAAAGAATCTGTTAGAGCAGTTTCGCCACAAAAATCTTTGATGGAACCGGAGCAGAGCCAGTGATTCTGTCTCTACACCGGCTGACATCTGTCCAAATAGCTATCAGAGGCTGGAAAAAGAGATGGATGTTTCAGCCTGTGTTACCTACCGTTGCATTTTCGTGTTCCTTGTCTTCATCAAGGAATAAAAAGCTCACCAAGACACAGTATATAGGACAATATCTCAATCTCATTGCAACTAAGAAGTAAAGAAAAATATAGGAAATACTAAACATGAGAGGCCGTGAGTGATGGATTTGAAATGTATGTCACATTGCTGATGATGAAACTCAGCATATCGGAAATCGTTGTCGTTGAATTGCACTGTCATTATAGGCAATATTGAAGCATCATTTTAAGTATTTAATGACATTATCAAAGTCGGAGCATGCTTAATGCTAATA